TCGTAGCTGTAGATGTCCCGAAGGGTCAAAGTCGTAGCTGCTACAGTCCTGAAGGGTCAAGGTCGTAGCTGCTACAGTACTGAAAGGCCAAGTCCACGGTCTTCCGGAAGGTCCGGAAGTGGCCTTTCGAGTTTTCCTCTCACGTTTTCCACAGAAGGCCAGAGGCAAGTGGGCAAGCGGTACCCAGTCCCAGTCTCACTTTGCACAGTCAGCAAGTACCAACGGGGACTGTGTGCACCATGGGCCCAGTGGAAAGAGGCAGACCAACGAGTTACAGAAGTATAAATCAAGAGGCAGCGCACAGCCATTCATTCATTCCTGCGTAAGCCATGCGGAAGCGCTGCCACGGTGACTTGTGCGAGGTGGTCTGCAGAGGGGCCTGAAGTCGTAGACTAGAGTTAGCTGGCGGCCATAGCTGCCATAGTTAGTGATAGGTGTGTATTCGTGTGTGTGCAGAGCGTATGTCTGGGGTATCCAGGGTGATCCGGAGTTGAAGTGTGAAGCGAACAGTGGTGTTGGACACAGTGACAAGGGTTGCGATGTGTGGGTGCTGATGCACCATATCCTGTTGAAGCGAGCTTACATCTGAACTGTGTCTTGGTTTCCATATCTTCGAGCTTTGAGTTGGGCGCTATGCGCCAGTGTGATTCACCATCTGTTTGTATGCACGTGAAGTGACGAAGTATGGGAGTCTGATTGCAGACCTGCCAAACACGGACTGAGACACAGCTGATTTCTGAGTTTTGCTCATAAAATAAATGCCTTGCTGAGTTTCCCGCTTGTTACTGAGTTCTCTAAGTGCATGCCTGTCAGAGTGCTTGTCCGCCTGAGTGTGTGTGTGACCCACAAGGACACTTGTTCGTTCAGAGGGTCCGAAGGGCCGGTACTTACCTGTGGCCGTGACATTGAGGGTTGCAGAGGGGAAAACACTCAAGTGGCGGGGAAAGAGGCCTGCGACATTGAGGGTTGCAGCGGTAAGCACTCAAGTACAAGGTAGACCGGTACCACACCAGGTAGAGGTAGATGTGCTGGGTACTCGAGGTCGAGCAGAAGAAGACAAAAGTTGGCATTTTTAGAGGCCCGGTAATTGTAGGCTAGGTCTAGGCAGGTACCAGTCCAACCAGTCTGAGTCTAGGGCCTGCACGGGCAATATCAGAGTCTGCATCCCTCCGAAGGGGAGGTACAGGTTGCTTGGAGGCCGCGCGGCCTAGGAAGTCACTCGCCAAGAGGCAAGCAGGCCGCAATATCTCCAGGAGGAGCAAGGTGCTCCTCATTGTCGGTGTGCGAGTTTGGCGACACACTGGCGCTGGCTGGAGCAGCGCTAGCTTGGAGCAGCGCAGCTGGGGAAGGAGCAAGGACACGGAGGAAGAGAAGACCAGGACTAGGAAGGGGGAGCGCCAGAGGTACTTACCTGGCTATGGTGGTTGCCATCTTCATCACCTTGGTGGGCGCTGCAGCAGGAAGGCCCCAGGTGGGTTAGAGCTACACAAAGAAGCTTCGAGGCAGAATCAGGCACGGCGGCCTGAGCTAGAACAGCCATAGCTGCTTTGTGTTGTCCTTTGGACAGCAGGGCGATGCCCTGGTAGTCCGACGTAGCCTCGGCCTTGGAGGAAGGAGGAATAAGGGTAGCCATGGCTATGGTGGACCTCATGTGATACCTGCAGTAGAACGGGGATTCGGACATTGATTCTGGTTCAGCCATTCAACATTATTATTATTATTATTTCTTGTTTGAATAAGAGAGGAGGAGATAAGGAGGAGAGTGGTTGGCGAAGAAGAAGAGCATTATCATTGGTCCAAGCTGGTGTACATCATCTTCTTCTTCTTTCTTTCTTCTTCTTCTTCTTTCCATCTCTCCTCTCAAGTTCATTCATTTCTTTTCGCAATTGGACGGCATTGTAGTTATTGATGAATGAGTACTTCGAAATTGGACAGAATGATAACAGCAGAGAGAAACCGACATATCAGCAATAAGGAAGGACTTTCAAACCTCTTTCGGCATCTTAATCCCATGGATACCTAACGTCACTAAAGGAGTGATTCTGCACGGCTCACCCTGGAAAGAACCTCACCAAGATATGTATTATGCATTGAATGCTTACACTGATATCGCAATTCATCTCCCGAAAGATGACCTGTTGCAGCTTCGCTCGCAACAACAAACGTGCAACCGACCGATGCAAACACGTTTGCACCTTCGACCCCCTTCCCCATCTCTCTCTCTCTCTCTCTCTCTCTCTCTCT